ATTCCACCAATTTAATTCTGAATCCATATTAAATCATAGAAAAATGGGTTTGAGCCTACCTCCAAACGACCCATAATTCTGTAATGAGTAGTACTCAAATTGCATCCATGCTTAAATTCACATCATAAAAAATCGAATAACAGATGTTTTGTTTTATTTTTTCAAATATTTAGAACAATTGGACATTATTCTATGCTTACTTTTCATTTTGTAAGAAATGGATGCTTGTAACATATTTTGTTTGCTCATTTTTAAAAGATGACTTTTTGTGAACGTCGCATAGCGACGTTTCCGTAGATTTTACTTTTTCCAGTGAATACTTCATCTGTTGATATACTGTGAACGTTTTGTGTACATATAAATATATTTACCTATGTTGGAAGACGTGCATAACGCCAATTCATAAAAATACAAATTGTTTCGTCTTCAAGAAAACTTGTAAGATTTTCACTGCTATTTTTGCTAAATAGGTGCAATTTGGGTGCTCGGTGCAATTTGGGTACTGTGACGTTACATTACATCGTTCAACTACATTAGTTACAACTTCAACAAGAAACAGTATTTATCGATTTCGAGACAGCAACCAACACCGAAGCACGGACAGTGTACCCAGGGGTAACCGTGAAAGGCTGATTCTTCCACTTTACCCTGTGTATTTGGCGAAAGGCACAGAAATGTGGACTGCAGTCATACTATAAAAAGATGAAGACATCACTCAACTTATACGCCGAGCCGCAGTATTACCTTTCGTTCCAATTTAGAAAAAATTGGTGCAGCTGACAACATACCCGCTATAACATCTACATAACAAGAATTTTGGGATGAAGGATACCGCTTTTTATGGAACCACTACTTCACAGAAGGACCCTGAACCACCAGCCACCTGGAAGGATAGCACACAAAAATTAAGAAGAGACTGACCAACTTGACAACCCCAACATCTCCTAGAGCATCGAGTTACTATAGACCTTCCAAACATCTACTAGAGCATCGAGTTACCAAAGACCTTTGTAAATCTTATGTTTTGTAACTTTTGAAATATATGTAAAATGTAGTTATTTTCATAATTATACAATATACATATAGTGCATCATATTACTTATTTTTACCATAGTGCTTTATTTATTTCCTTATGAAATGCATGTATAGATTTGATTCATAAATTATATAAATAATGTTTGCAATAAAAGAAAACTGTATCATATATTGGTGTATATATATCATCATCATTTAGAAACTGCTGAATTATTAAGACACTGTTATAAATGAATGTCATTGTTTTGTCACAGTCATGTTTAACTCTTATGGTGCTTGTAACATTTTTTGATTTTTGCGGACTGCAAATCGTCAAAAAATATTAAAGGGACTTTAGAGCTACGGTTCCGCAGCTAAATCATGTTAAGTGAATCAACGAATATTTGATTTCTTGATTATTTATCTATACAAATAAAAATGGAACTACAAAATGAAAAATACTTGAATATATAGAAGACACAGATAAACTATGATATACATTTTTGTACATAAAGAGTTAGAACATACTATAGAATTGTATGCTTATTAAACCTTTTGTCTTTTTTGTTTTCTTTACTAATAGATAATTGGTAATAATCAAATGTGGGCAAACCAGGAGTAAACCTCTATCACCTGGCCAAGTATGGGTGTGAAAATTTAATTATTGAAACAAAAGCTCCAAATAAGTGTAGACATAACAGGGGGTGTAAAAAAAGTGATTTTTAAAGAAGTTTTAATACAATAAAATCTTTCCTGTCTACATCATGCACATTGTCTATTCAATTGTGAGACCAAAATCTTCTAAATCAGAAAATGGAATGTTTGAACTGCCTTCAATTAATCTTATGGCTACTGTGATGTATGATTTCAAACAAGAAAATGTATAAGGAGACATTATTTTTATTTCATATGTCTTTGTCTCCCTCATAATCGTCATCTTTAATATGAAAATGTTTTATGCGTTCTGTATAGTGTACTGATATTTTTTTTTTTTAGTTTTTGCTGAGAACAGTATATCTAACGTCAATATATATGTTCCTGGTTTTTGTGATACTTTATTTTTTCTGTGTTGTTACTGTGTTTATGCTCAGTCTGTACTAATACATTTATCTACTACTCCCAGGTCTGTATTGAATTTATTTGCATTAATTAAGTTAAAACTATATTATAATGTTTCAGCTTCATTCATATTATTCAGCGTCATGTCTTAGTAGCAAGTTCTTATGAAATAAGACATGCATACATACACTAGGCAAAAGATTTGTTTCTCTTCAAGACATCTTTTGCATGTTTCACCACAGTTACTTGCATCAATGGTCCATCATTTGGAATTTGGAATCATTGTATGACTTGGCACCTCTTAACACATTTTTTTACATAAGAAATAAAATGATTTTCCATAAATAAAAAAAATAAGGGTTAATAAAAAATCTTATTGCAATACACCTTTTATACCTGCTTAACTTTTATTTGAAAACAAAGAAAGAGATCTATATACCCACTACAGGTTGTGTATTAGTTATGTTTAAATTTGTCAGTGCAAAAGGAATGAGGGTCTGAATGGGAGTTCCTCATTTTTTTATTTAAAAAAAAAACAACATTTTTCTCTATTCTTTATTTATTTTGCCCATTATTCTCCATTCTTTATATTTCAGCACCCCATTATTCTCGATTCTTCTCCCCCTTTTTTGATGCACTTTTCGCCCTTAATTCTCTATTCTGTAAACCCCATCCTGACCCTAAGGTATTGTTTGGCCAAACAGGTATGCATTACGTAACTATGTGTCTGTAACAATTACTAGTATATATTCCAACCTCACCTGTGCACTCGGCAAGTGATCATGGATGTACACAGATTCGGAGCATGTGACATAATATTGCGTAGTACCTATGTCTTATCTATCCCCACCTGGGGCATGACACCTGTAGCTTTCAACTTCAAAGGAAACCCAGCATTGCGGAGACAGGTGTACCACACACCTGTAACGGTAGGACAGCCGAGATTCCTCATCACATCTGGGTCACGATGATGATGATCGTAACATGCATTAGAAAAATGGGCGGAACAAAATCTATGATTCGTGCTTGGTAGGAAGTCCCATCTTTTACAATAGTGTGTTCACGCCTTCTTGGTCTGCGGGTTAATCGGAAAACGGAAAAAACTTAATGCACCGTCCTTCTTATGTCTATTGTTGCATCCACTGGCAGCACACAGAACCATTTTTAATCACTGTCATGCGTTTTGTTGGTAGATATTCGAAAAAGGAAATTGCGCTAATATGCCTATACACCCGTCTGTCAATATGACTGATGAGAACCATTGACGTCACAACCGCGTTCTGAGTGACTTCCGTGATTGAAATATGCATATTGAGCAGGTCGATAGATCGATACATTTAAATGCATATTTTAACCATATAATTGACACTTATACTGCTATCGATGTTTTATGGGTTTATTTATGTATAAATAAACATTTATGGTAAAAATAAATCGTGTCACACCTCCTTTAAAACAGACAGAGGAATATGGGATTAGTTATTTAGATCTCAGAATTTTGAACACCAATATGTCCATGTAACAAAACCATAGTGATATTATGACACAAGACAAGCACTGACGAGTTCCAAATTTGTTGTGACACATTAATGTTTAACCAGTGAAAATTTGATATTTTGATTTTACAGCGCAATTATGTAAATGGTTATAAACTGCAAGATCGTGTTTAAAAAAGAATATCAAAACATAGTAAAACAATGTCCTCTTTTCTGTAGAATCCCTATGTCTAATGCCAAACTGTCTGATTATCTATAGATATGTTGCTTCTGATACTATGGACGTAGAAATGGAATTTGTACTTAGCAATATAGACTTTTCATCTTGTATAGTGAGTAGGTTAAAATAGCAATAAACCGAAATGTTGACTGTTAAACATTCGAAAACCTGCAAATATATGACACGGAGCTTCTTGTTGTTATAACGTTTATAGTTTTTCAGGACCAGAACTTGTTAATGTGATATGTATATGAACCCTTCTTTTACTCGACCGATTTTGATATGTAAGTTGTTATCGTCCCCATGGGTATTATCAAAGGTTAAGCACAATTTGGTATTTAGAATATAATTAAATAAACTTTCGTATTTCAAAGTTTATGGAAATTTAAGTATCTCAAGTGGATAAATATCGTAACCTAGCATGTTTAAAATTGATAATTTAACTATCAGGGTGGATAAATATCGGTATCCACGAGGTGCTGGATACTTAACACTACAAGCCCCTGAAGGACATCATTCGCCAGGTAACCTGAACTATCCAAAATAATTCATTTATTTAATCATTTTCGCCCCTGAAAAAAATATCAGATCATGCTGAAAAGTTCAAATGCGATTCCCTCTTTCAAAGTTGATCTCAGAAAAGTTTGTATTCTGGTTAAGTGATATTGATTTTGATGCCCATATATGTTTTGTTAATTTGGCTTTTCAAAATTTTGGTCTCGAGTGTATATAAAGAAGTTTATTCCAGAAACACATATCGTCTGCAAAGAGGTCGGATTCATATTTTATTTTAATGGCCGTGGTGAGATATATAAATAACAAATAGCTGAGAGGGTGATATAGCAGATTGTTACCCCGAGAAAAACATTGTCAACCGAGGCGAAGCCAATGTTGACAATGTCTTTTCGAGGGTTAACAATCTGCTTTATCACCCTCTCATCTATCATCATAATGTGTTATTCAATTTATTATACTGAATGTTCTATTATTATTGTCTAGTAATTTTCAAATTCAACTTAATAAACTTTAACGTCTTGTACATAACAACCATCCGTTTTTAATAAAGCGCACCATTGATCAAGCGTCTCCGTGAAGTATTTGCCATCGGATAAATTAAATTACTACCCTCGTATTAACCAATCAAAATCTGGCATTTTGACATGAAGTATTAGATGCCCGTTACTCTGTGTCTTAGTAATAGACATCTGATATAGAGAGGCGTTTTATTTTATTTTATCAATCTGGAAGAGATAATATTAACTACATTGTAAGCTATGATATTTAACATTTTATTGTTCAGATGTTTTCTCCAGTACAAAATATGTCTCATCAGGTTTCGAAACTTCGTCGTTTTCTTTTATTTCCTTCATTTGTGGAACATGTGTGTCTGGTTGTGTAAGTTCGTCTGGATCTAAAATAAAATACTTGTGGGACGAAGACGTTGACATCGTGTTACTTATAGCACTATCTCGAAAATATGTGTTGTAAACAATGTCACTTCCTGCTTGTTCGACCTTCCGTTTAGTGGAAGCAGTGTCTGCAAATGTCTGATACAAGCTACTCTGATCAGATACTCGTCTGTTACCAGGCGTATTGTTTCCGTTGTAAAAGTTTCTTGATTTAATACTTTCATATTTTGGTTCACTAAATGTCCTGGATAGAGCATCAGGTTCTGGACTTGACAAAATTTCATCATAACGATGATCACTTCGAGAACTACTCCTATCGATTGCATTTGGCACGTCTATAGAATATAATGGGTTGTCTGTCTGAAAATAAAAACGCTCAAAGCATTATTATCGCTCCTTATAAAAATAAAGAGATGTGGTATGATTTCCAATGAGACAACTATTCACCAGAGTTCAAATGAAGTGGATTTAAGCAATAATAGGCAACCGTACGGCCTTCAACAATGAGAAAACCCCGTACCGTAAAGTCGGCTATAAAAGGCCCCGACGTGAAAAATATGAAACAATTCAAGTCTTTCGACCTAATTCATAACAAAACAATTTACGAAAAACAAATATGACGGACATGAAGCAACGATGACCATCGAACTACAGGCTCCTGACTTGGGACAGGCACATAAAGAATGAGGCGATGTTAAAAATGTTTTCCATTTAAGTAAATCAAGTCAAACGTTTACGAGTAGAAGAACATGAAAAAGCTTTTGACAGTAGAACATTTTTCTGGTAACAAAACCATCTCCCAAGCAACTTCTTAGACACCTTTCATTACTACATGCACTGGTTTGTTAAATATGTATAGGGCAGATGTGTTACATATGTATACATCCAACGTGATTAATCTGGAAGAAATGGCTGTATTATAGCCGTGCAATGGGTAAACGTCGGAGAAGTAAGGTTAAAGTTCTTCCATCCAGTCTTCCACATCTATATTAATTGATCGTTACAAAACATTTAATCGTTCGATTTTAAAGAATGACATATTTTGGGTATTACAGTCAAAACGATTTTAAAATTGTTTTGTCCTAGAATACAATAATAAAATATAAAAACATAATTTGAACATTTAATTTATTCCAAAAGATGTGCACATGCAATTATTTATACAATTAAAAAAACAATACCTGATTAGATACTGGTATCGCTACTTCTTGATTACTTTCGGCCATATTCCTTTTCTGTCTGAAATGATCAATACATGTATAAATATATAATTCAGCGATAGTGTCCATCTCTTCTTGGTCTATAAAGTCCAAGTGATGAGCGATTGATTATTAACATTTAGATCAGTGGACGTATCTTCGTTCCGAATTGATCCGAAGAATCCAATTGATGAGCATCTATTATAAGCGTTTCATGGCAGTTTCTTTAAACAGTATGCTATGCTTTACCAAACGTTGCATTGGTTTGAATAGGAAATAGCAATAATCAAGGTGTTGATGTCAATAAAACAGGATTAACTGTAGTATGTCATCTATAAACTCTATTTTAAAAGACGAGCTATTTTCTTGACTTCTTCATGTTAAATTATGTTATTTTTTCTTGACGAGTTAATTTCCAGTTGTTTTGATTTTTTCAGTGTCCGGTGTTTGCAGTATAAAGGACTATAAAGTTAAATATACCTTTTTAGATAATATTTCCAGCATAATATAACTACAAGTACGATGATAACAGCAAACACTGCTCCAATACCAATACCTATAACTAAGTCCTCCATAACAACTCCATTGTCAGACATATCGATTGTGGGTTTTGTGTGGAGTGAATTCCCAGTATTTTGACTGTTCTCCTGTGTTGCTTTACTAGTATGATTGTTGGCTGGTTTAATTATATGGCCTTTATTATTTATTGAATTGTTAAAAGTGGAAGTCGGTGGAGCAAGTGTGCTTTTAGACACGGGAAAAGGTTCCCAAAAATTTGGGACAGCTGGGAAATCTCTTGGCTGATAAGCTGCAAAAGAAGACAGTGTTTATTTTCTATCTTTTTAATTATAATGTCTAACAAATGAATCTTTTTTGTAACCCTAGTAATCAGCCGGTACATAAAATGTCATTTTGAAAACAAATGATATCTACGCTTGAAGTACTACGGCAACATACAAACATAGTATTTAATTTACCAAACGTTAAAAGTCACTATGAAGCCGTCTATAATTGACCACGGCCAGACGGCCGCCTATATGAAAAGTTCTCAGTTGTCCCTAATAAACGAATTAAACAGAAAAATACTACTGATCCGTATTAATCGTGAAATTTCGTAGCGGGAAAGCAATGTATAAAGACTGCATTTCCTATAGTCAGAGCAGAATTATAAAATGTAGAAGGTTTACAACAGTTTTACAAGTTTTTGACAGTCTCCCTTTCACATGGGTCTGCGAAATGTCACAAACCATAAAGGCAATATACAGTTTTGGCCACATTTTCGGTAGACATACATAATTGTAAATCAATGCATGTTTGTTTCTGTGAAGTTCTTTTCCTAAAAGTGTTCATCAGTATTTTCCCACAATATAAAGATAAGGAGATATGGAATGATTGCCAAAGAGACAACTATTCACCAGAGTTCAAATGACGAAAATATATGGAATAATAGATAACCGTACGGTATTCACCCATGAGAAAATCCATACCGTGTAGTCAGCTATATGAGGTCCGACATGAAATATGTGAAACAATTCAAACGAGAAAACTAACGGCCTAATTTATAACAATACAATTTACGAAAAACAAATATCACAGACATGAACCAACAGCAACCACTGAATTACAGGCTCCTGACTAAAAAGTTGCGGCGTTTAACTCAATAGATCGACACGAAGCAACAAAAAAACTAACAGAAAAACAATAGACACAAAGCACCGATATAAGAGTACTCGCAGTTACTGAAAGCTAGTTCAAAGCCAATTACAACTTTTTTATAATGATGTTCCCCCAGAATAAAGTATCAATCAGTACACATCCAACAGATTAAGTGTAAAGACGTCATAAACAGTCTGAGAAACGCATGATCTTGTGCCATGCCAAAATATAAATAAACAGTATCAACAGGATGTAGGATCACGAGTACTCATAACTGTACATATATAGCTATAGATATTCAGTAAATGTTTTAATTTTTCAAAAACTAAATCTATGTTATTACCAATAAAACAATATTTGAAGATTTTACTACTGTGTTAAATTGACAACCTTTAAGAATAAGTTTATTCAAAGGACCAATGAGTTTACATGGATCGTATCTAAATTTTAAGGACAATAATGACATCTTGTTTAGAAGTCGGAATGGGTAAATACCTACACGTATATTGACGTCATATTTAGAGGGCGATGATAGGGTTATGTCCTCCAGATACCATATTAAAAATATTAATAGAGTTGTTACCCTCTGAGCGACATAAGATTGATACGCAATTTAATGGTGTGAATTTTGTTAAAACATCTGACATGATGTGCAGTTACATTTAACAAAGGATAAATATTTCAGGCAACAAAACTGTCAGAAAAATCTGATTATGTCGGCACTTAATTAGTTGATGCTCTTGTATATATATATATATGTAATCATATTTTTTGACTCTCCGAAAAGCGAGTTTCGTATAATTGGAAATACTAAATGTAAGCCACTCAGAAAATCAAAAATACAGTCATGCATCACTGAATAACATAAAATGATAAATTTATTGTGCGCACGATAATTATTACATTTTTCTTTCTTATTTTTTTTACTCCACCAACCTGGGCCAGAACATATTTTGAAAGTAGCTTTACATCCGGGTCTGACGAAGAGTATTCCATTTTGGTCGATTTCGGCACCATTATGTTCGCAAGATGGCATAGAATAATGAACGTCATCTATACAGTCCACATTTCTCAAGGGAAATCCACAATTAGAATTATACCTTTCATTTCCTGTACATACCCCCTTCCTACAATATTGATAGCATCCACCTGATAAGAAAAAAAGAAAAATGTAAGAAGAAAAGCTCATTTGGTTATCTCGTTAATTTGTACTTGGTTCAGATTCATATGATAAGAATCACACTGATTCCAAGAATTAATATTTCAAGAAATATTCGGTTTCCAATGTGCATTAATTGTGAGGTATATGCAGTTCATTTACTTTTTGATATTTATTTTAATTAAGATTTATACAAAACTATCAAATACGTTGTATGCTTATTTTAGAAATTTTATCCAGTTCATCTTTTGAGAGGTTTAGGTTGTTTTTGTTTGGATTATGTCAAATGTAGTAAAAGCATTCAATTTTACTTTCAGAGTTGTTGATCATGTCCATTGACAGCCACTCATAAATCCTTATTTTTATCAAAGTCATATTTTGAGAGTTTTAGGTACTTAAAGTTTGAGTCCTCTATTGCGTAGTAATTTTATATCTGCCCAAAGTTTGGTCTCCAGAGAACTCTATGAAGGATATCCCATAAATATGTGTCGTGCATACTGAACTTGATATTATGTGTATATGATAACTACTGGGTCAGTACTGCTGTTAGTGGATTGTAAGCCACTGGGTCAGTACTGCTGTTAGTGGAATGTAAGCCACTAGAGTAAGTATCTTGCCATTAGCTTGCACAATTTAAATGAGGTATATTAACTGTATTTTTTTCATCACAAATTTTATCGAATTATTATACTTAAACTCTTTCAGATAGAGTTTTGGCGGATTTCGCATTTTGGTTAAGTGATCCGAAACGTTTAGATTATGTTTAGTGCAGATCTTCTGTTTATTTAGAAAAAAATTAATAGGTGGTCTGTTTAAACAAGCCTTGGTGTTTTCTCTGCCATTTCATTTTAGTAATAAGAAAGTTGAAGATCATTATAGTCGAACTTAACAAAATTTATTTAATAATTCTTCGAGTAGGTATGATAACATAAACGAACATTTATCATTTTATCGTCTAAAAGAACATGAAACATGTGAACTAAGGCTTTGCTTTGCTTGTTTGATAATTGTTTGCTTAACGTACAGTGACAAATAGTTCATGCATATTGATCACGAGAACCAACTGAATAATTATAAATAATTTAGCCAGATTCTAGAAAAAAAGATTGGTCAATGTCAAATGTACCGATTTTTTTTGTATTCGATGCACATGTCTGGCTTTTATTTCACTATGATCGCTCAGATCTATAAGTTGGGAAAGCAAAAAATATATAAAAATAAATAGCAAGTTACATAACGATGATAAAACGAAAACACATTTTTCAACACTCAGTCTGTTTTGATGTAACCGTGATATTTAAAAAAATAATACACAATTTTGAACCAGGTTAAAAGTCGGGTATTTATGATTTGCAATGAAGAATAAGGGCATGTTGGGTAAGATAAAAAACTTAAACCCCTTTCAAGGGTTTTATGTTTAACTAGCTATGGTTATTTCTGATGTCATAGGGCTTTTTCGGAATATTGGATATTGTCTTTACGGTCTTCAAAAGACTCTCAACTGGCAAAATAATATTGATAGAAGAGCAATCGAATTTATGTGTTTGTGTTTATAGAAACTCTTTCTTGTAATATTTATTCAAAATTAACGTATTTGAAAGTTGAAAACCTTTATGATCAATCATAAGTATGGTAAAGAAAAATATTAAATCACAAATAACAAAACAATGTAGTTATTTCTTTTGTGACGTGATATAAATATCGACATTGGAATTTCCCTAAATTATGCCTTACCGTGTAATACTATATACAAGCATTGAGTGTATTCGTCATTATCCGTCAAAATTGACATTTATATTTACTTTATACATGTATCTTGTTATCAAATATTTACCTATTCATATAAACTAATGAGCCTAAAAAATATAAGAAAACTTGATCCCACTACCCCCATCGTATTGACACTACATAATAGAAAAGATTATCATAAACACTGCGTAGGAATAAGCAATACCAACTTCTCCAAAAGCTGATTTAAAAAATCATTTCCTAAAAATTACCAATAATATATTGAAACGATTACACAGTCAATCGAATTGGTATTTGTATCAATTACTTTTAAAAAGTCACTTTATTCAAATCAGAATGTAACTAAGGGTAGATTTACACTAACCTTTACAACAATGGTTATCCGGACAGTTCATTGTGATTTTTCTGTTTTTAACTTTATTCCTGTTTTCATTGTGTTATCACTGATTTATTTGGTTGGTAAGTGAAGTGTGGTGTTACGTACGTAGGCCTTCCTCGGTTCAAATGAATCATATTTTAATACATGTACACTGGCCTCGGGCTGTATTGTAAAGAACGCTACATCATTCAAAATGGAAATCACAAGCGGAAAATAAAAACAATTTGATTTGAAATTTTCCAGGAAGAAATATACTTTTTTATAATAGTTCAATTCTAGTTAACAAAATGCCCAATAAAATGCTACAGTTCTACAGTAAGCAATTGATACCTTCGTACTGCATAACTACAAGTACCTAGCTTTATATTTTTGTCTACGCATATATTACGTAGATGTTATATGTTTCCTGCCATTTTGGAAATTTAAATATATAACAATTTTTCAAGAATTGGCATGTAATGAAGTTTGGTCTTTAAATTTTCGAGAGAAATCGACTTGTGAACAACTTTATGCAAGTGGAAGGGACTATTACTATTTCATTGTTCAAGAAGAGCAAAGTTTAAATTTAACAAACACATTTTATGCAAACAGAGTAATGACATTGTTTATATTCTTTAGATGTGACATAATTTTAAAATTATCCTCGGGGTATACAACGTATGTCTATACACAATAGACACTAAATATAGTAACGGATCTTTTTTTTATACTACATTAAAATTGAATCCAGAAACAAGGTGAATGGCTTAGCCACTTGCATCATAAAAATATTATGCAATTGATTTATATAAGCTGATATATGCATATGAACTTTAACTATGGTATAAAGGTCAATTCACAGGTTACATTATAGTCCTCTGCCAGGCGCCTAGTGGTTTTGCACAACTGACTATTTGCTTGCATCTAATTTTGACAGGGAGTATGCTTTTACCCATGCTTGGTGGCTTAATTCTTTTTCCGCGACTGGTTGACACATTTTGTCGTCCAAAGTACATATAAAAATACAGACACGGGTGCGTATTCTATAACAAAACATGTTAAAAATATCGAACCCATTGATTGTTTTAACCAAATTCGACAAAAAATTGTGGAATAATGATTGTGGTGTCAACCCACAACCTGAAACTGCAATCTTCTAAAAACAAAAAAACAAAATAACTAGAGGCTCTAAAGAGCCTGTGTCGCTCACCTTTCAAATTGTCTATGTGCATATTCAACATAGGACACTCTCCAACATTGAAGACGAGAATAAAATTCATGACAAAAATTTGTTTTGTTGATCTTGTATTGCTGATCATTTAGTTTATTTAGTTTCTCTCTATCTTCTTTAGTTTTTGCTCAAAACACAAAAGAGGGTAAAAAAAATCTTCATTTAAGGGCAATCACTCCTATAAATAGTGACAGTCTACTTCCTATATCAGTAAAATTTGATTTGTTAGTAGATCTTGCCTTGCTGATCTTTTTTGTGATTTAAAGTGTCTATTTGTCTATTATAATTTTTATCATGTAAGGCAAAACCCCCCAAAAATGGTAAAAATCGTCATTAAAGGGCAATAATTCCAAGGAGACGTCGGACAATTTCGACTATGTGGACTTATTTGTAGAACTTGTCTTGCTGATCATATTGCTTATTGAAGGTTCTATCTATCTATTTTAATTTTTTTCAAGATATAAGGCAAAAACGCAAAAAAAAAAAATGGTAAAAATCATCATCAAGAGGCAATAGCTCTGATAAGGAGTCGGCTGACCATTTCGACCATGTGGACTTATTTGTAGAACTTATCTTGCTGATCAATTTTACAATTTAAAGTTTCTCTGTATCTATTATAGTTTTCAAGATAATAGGCAAAAATGAAAAGAATGGTAGAATTTGTCATTTAAGGGCCATTACTCCTATAAGAAGTCGTCTGACAATTTTGACGTATATGAACAATTGGTAGAGCTCATTTCTGCTACTGTCAGATTTTCTCTATTCATAACGGTTTTCAAAATAATAGACAAAACTTGCATTTTACCCCTATGTTCTATTTTTAGCCATGGTGGCCATGTTGGTTGGTAGGCGGGTTCATATGACACATTTTTTAAACTAGATACCCCAATAATGATTATGGCCAAGTTTGGTAAATTTGGCCCAGTAGTTTTAGAGTAGAAGATTTTTGTAAAAGTTAACATCCTGCCTTTTTTTTGCCAAGTTGCTCATCCTGCCCTTTTTTACAAATTTCATCCTACATTGATTTTTATGGGGGGGCTAGGATGAAAAATTTTGTCTTGCATTTTTTTTTTTTTTCACTCTATTCGGTCCTGCTTTTTTTATTAGTTTATCCTGACTTTTTTTTACATAAATTGTCATCCTGCCTTTTTTTTTTTTTTTTGCCAAGTTGCTCATCCTGCCTTTTTTTTTTTTACAAATTTCACCCTAGCCTTCCCCCCCCCCCCCCCTTTTTTTTTAAAAAAGAAAAGCAACACGTGAACCCGAGACCGCTGACTGGTCACCAAAAAAATGTTGCTGATTTTTTGTTTGCTTTTGATTTGAAATAATTGACTGTAAATAGAATAAGATAATGATGATGATAAAACACCTTTATTGAAAATATGTAATTGTGTGTCGATTTTTGCACAGGTCAATTGAAAGCACTGTTGGATAGTTGTGAATAGAAAAGTGTATATATACAGCTACTATTTGAATTTACATTTTAAGGCTTGACTATTTTATTTATTACTTGGGAGTATACATCACTTCTCCATAATCCTATTGCAAATCCCAGTTTTCAGATTTTTGTAAGAGAAATAATTTGTATATTACAGCGGGTAGGACTGGGGTAGATAAGGGTATAGGTAAGGCTATCACGAAAAACAACATTTTAATTGACTATTTTATAGTTTCGTCAAATCTTTTTAGAATATTGAAGAATTTGAGATTATTCCGTTTGATGCATTATTCTCTGGTGTACACAACCGCATACATGTCAAACTAATAACAGAGGCCAATATAGTAGTAGAGGAAAAGAGTTCACATAAAAAGACGTCAATAAAATGGATGGAATAGGATACACAGAAATTCATCGAAGATGTAAGGAATAACGAGGAAAAAATTCTTGATTTGTGTAATGAATTGGAATCCTTCAAAAAAGATGATCATGATATAAACGGAGTTATAACTAGTTTAACAAATTTTTACTCGCAGGCAGCTAAAGATTCTTTTGGAACTTTTGTTAATAAAAGTCCGATGAAAAAAGTTCATGGGGTAAAAAAAAGGGTAATAAACCATGGTTTGGTAAATCATGTAAATTGAAAAGAAAACAATTTCACTCGGCAAAATATAAATATAATAAACAGAAAAGTATAAATAATAAGAAGTCACTGAAAAGTGCAAGTAAGGAATATAAAACAAAATAAAGTAATTGTTTTCAAAAATATAAGTTTAAAACAGAAAAGGAGCTTCGTAATATATCAAAAAATAACCCGAAAGAATTTTGGAAAGTTTTAAATAGATTTTCTCCGAAACAAAAAAGGGAAAGTTCAATTTCACTAGAAGTAATGTATGACCATTTTAAGAAGCTTAATGAAAGTGAGGTAAATGAAGAGGGAGAGTTTCAATTACCAAACCTACAGTTTAATGAGTTTGATGAAATTTTAAATGGCCCATTATATGAAAGAAATAATCAAAGTTATTAAGACTTTACAAAAATAATAAAGCCGCTGGATATGATGGAATAAACGAGTATATTAAAAATTCTCTGTCTTTATGTTTACCTCTTTACGTCAAGTTGTTCAATTTCATATTCGACACAGGGATTATACCCGAAATCTGGTCAATGGGAATAATTAATTCCATTTATAAGAATAAGGGAGATCTTAAAGATCCAGACTCGTATCGAGGTATAACACTGGTATCATGTTTAGGTAAAGTATTTACAGCTATACTTAATAATAGGCCAGACAAGTTTGCACAAGAAATTGAATTACTTTCAAAATGCCAAGCGTGATTTAGGAAAGGTCACTCCACACTTGATAATATATTTAGTTTATATTGTTTGATTCAACTTTATTTACTTTCTGGAAAGCGTTTATTCTGCACATTTGTAGATTTCAAGAAAGCCTTTGATACTGTGTGGAGGGTAGGGCTGTGGCAAAAGCTTATTTCTAGTAACATAACAGGCAAAATATTTAACTCTATTTATAACCTCTATTCTAATATCAAATCATGTGTAAGACACAACTCAGATTGTTCAAATTTCTTTCCGTGCGAAGTCGGGGTTAGACAAGGTGAAAACTTATCGCCCTTTCTGTTTGCTCTTTTCATAAATGATCTTGAACGCTATTTTATTCAGCATGATATAACATGTTTAGAAAGGTAAATAATACTGTCTAAGTGAACTTGGCATGTATATTAGAATTTTTTTATTATTACATGTACATGCTGATGATACAATATTACTGGCAGAATCAGCTGACGATTTACAAAGAATGTTAAATAAGTTTGATGAATATTGGAAACTAAATGTAAACATTGATAAGACATAAGTAATGGTGTTTGAGAAGGCGAAGCGTCAAAGAAATCTGAGATTTATGTTAAGAGGCGCGGAGGAGTTACAGCTCACGGACAGCTATAATTATCTGTGATTATTGATAAGATACTATTGTAATTTTAATCTATCAAAGAAAAAACTGGTTGAACATTCACAAAAAGCACTGTACGCATTATACTACAAGTTTAGAAATGTAAACATTCCTTCAGATCTGCAGTTTCGACTATTTGATTGTATGGTCTCTCCAATTTTACTTTATGGCTCGGAAATATGGGGTCATGAGAATGTTGACATGATTGAAAAGGTGCACTTAAGTTTCCTGAAGAGGGTCTTGAATGTAAGATCAACAACACCAAATTATATGGTCTATGGGGAGACTGGCAGATTCCGTTACTAATAAATTTTAAAACTAAATTACTTTGCTTTTGGTCAAAGTTAGTGCAAAGCGGTAGTAGCAAATTATCCGGGATTTTGTATCAGTTAATGTATAACTTACATAATTCAGGTCAACACTCATTTAAATGGTTATCTTCTCTGAAACAAATATTAGATGATACAGGATTTTCTTTTGTCTGGAATGCACAGGGTGTTATCAAAAGTTCGGATATTAAAAAAGAACTAAAACAAAAATTAGTTGACCAATTCGGACAGCGTCTATTTGCTGATATGACAAACTCGACAAGA